ACATATGAACTAGCCCAGTCAGATCCAACAATGTCCATAACGAGGTCGCGGGAGAGCGTGTATCCGGCACCTTATCTAATATGTATAAAGACCCTTCGCCTACATGCAACTGGAAAGAGAAAAGTGAACTGTATTGAAGTAAGCCAACCTAACCATCCCCGGGGATTATAGTGTAGGTCGTAGGATCTCTGGTTCCCGAGCCGAATCTTCAACGCCCTCTTTCGATCCAATCTGCCCTTCACAACGTACGTATGTACATGCATACATAAAATAAAACAAACATTATTAGTACAATTAAATAAAAATTTTAGTTTGCAAGTTTTGAAAACTCAAAAGGTCTTTAAAAAAATCTAATACCGGTAAGAAAGATTTCTTAGCCAGTACAAACCTCGAAAGTTTCGAGTACAAATTTGATTCTTATTACTACATTTACAAAGCTACAGAAGTGTTTTATATTATATTATATATGAAAATTTAAAAGTTTTTCTAACTTAAGGTTGTTCTGTGACTTTATTTTTTTTTTAAGATTTAATATCGATTTGAGATCACAAATCTTTGGTTATAAAGACTGTACATATGAGTTCTGCCAAAAGAAACTGTCTCTTAGAACTATCAATTACATTTTGACCGGACACAATCTAATTTATTAATGATTGTGTCCTAGAGATGGGCAAGTTTAGTTAACTATTATTTCTTTTCATTTTTTGCGTAATAATTAAGTAAAGGATTGTGATATAAGCAAAAACTTAACATGATCAGCATATTAAAATTTGCTTTCTAGATTACATTTGTAAAATGTGATAAGCAATAATCATTCACCATAAGTAATAATATGTAAGTATGTGAGTATTGGGGTAAAAATAATTATTATTTACATTATTACTCTGCCCATCTCTATTGTGTCCGGTCAAAATGTAACTGAAAGTCCGAAGGGACATTTTCCTTTGGCGGCATTTATATGATTAAATATTTTGAAAATTATATACCAATATAAAAATTTTTTAAATTTTACATGATACCACATACGATTAGATCTTTGATTTACATAACGTGTCGAATACCCAAACGTATCGTACCTTCGAGGCTTCTGATTTACAATGCACAAACCCATTGTCTATAGATACTGCGGCCATTTCTTCATCCTTGGCCTAAACCTCTTCTTGTTTTACTACTCTTCATACTATCTTCAACTAAAATCGACAGTCCCACCAATGCATATCCCACCAATGCATATCACAGATAATACCTACACCAAACCTCCTTTTGGTGTGGATCAGAATTTAACTATCTTTATCGGGATTTTTACCTATTATGAGAAGATTGATACTAGGATGTGCTTGCGCGAGTTGTACACACACAATAATAATGCTCTGATGCGGTATCTCAGAGTCAAGAAATCGCCCGTGACTATTAAGTTTATCTTGGGGCTGCCAGAGGATGAATATATGGATAAGTTGGAGGAAGAGTCTAAAATGTACGGAGATATTATTATTTTGAATATCACGGAGAACATGAACGAAGGAAAAACGTTTGAATACTTCAGTTGGTTTGCTAAGCATGTGAGTATTATTGTCTTGTTATAAAGAAGTGCATATCAATAAGTATTCATTACTTCAAATACGTTTAGAGGGAGGATAATTATATGACCAAATTGGACGATGACACTTTCATACACCTTATTCACTACTATCGTGACCTTCAGGATTTACCGAGAGAACGTGTGTACTATGGCAATGCTTTAGGATATTATTATGGAACATACTCTTACATGGGTGGTGTGTTTTTTATTCTCTTTTATCATCTTTTATCATCAATACTTTATGCACTTTTTGATTTACTTTTCTTACATTCGAGATAAGGTGCCGGATACACGCTCTCCCGCGACCTCGTTATGGACATTGTTGGATCTGACTGGGCTAGTTCATATGT